GAGGAGTGTGATGAGTGTGTGGAGTGTGAGGAGTGTGTGGAGTGTGAGGAGTGAGTGGAGTGTGTGGAGTGTGAGGAGTGTGAGGAGTGAGTGGAGTGTGAGGAGTGTGATGAGTGTGAGGAGTGTGAGGAGTGAGTGGAGTGTGAGGAGTGTGAGGAGTGTGAGGAGTGAGTGGAGTGTGAGGAGTGTGAGGAGTGAGTGGAGTGTGAGGAGTGAGTGGAGTGTGAGGAGTGTGAGGAGTGTGATGAGTGTGAGGAGTGTGAGGAGTGAGTGGAGTGTGAAGTGTGAGTGGAGTGTGAGGAGTGTGAGGAGTGAGTGGAGTGTGAGGAGTGTGAGGAGTGAGTGGAATGTGAGGAGTGAGTGGAGTGTGAGGAGTGAGTGGAGTGTGAGGAGTGTGTGGAGTGTGAGGTGTGTGAGGAGTGTGATGAGTGTGAGGAGTGAGTGGAGTATGAGGAGTGTGATGAGTGTGTGGAGTGTGATGAGTGTGATGAGTGTGAGGAGTGTGAGTGGAGTGTGAGGAGTGTGAGGAGTGAGGAGTGAGTGGAGTGTGAGGAGTGTGAGGAGTGTGATGAGTGTGATGAGTGTGAGGAGTGTGAGGAGTGAGTGGAGTGTGAGGAGTGTGAGGAGTGAGTGGAGTGTGAGGAGTGAGAGGAGTGAGTGGAGTGTGAGGAGTGAGAGGAGTGTGAGGAGTGTGAGGAGTGAGTGGAGTGTGAGGAGTGAGTGGAGTGTGAGGAGTGAGAGGAGTGTGAGGAGTGAGTGGAGTGTGAGGAGTGTGAGGAGTGAGTGGAGTGAGTGGAGTGTGAGGAGTGTGAGGAGTGAGTGGAGTGTGTGGAGTGTGAGGAGTGTGAGGAGTGTGATGAGTGTGTGGAGTGTGAGGAGTGTGTGGAGTGTGAGGAGTGTGAGGAGTGTGATGAGTGAGTGGAGTGTGAGGAGTGAGTGGAGTGTGTGGAGTGTGAGGAGTGTGAGGAGTGAGTGGAGTGTGAGGAGTGTGAGGAGTGAGTGGAGTGTGAGGAGTGTGAGGAGTGTGATGAGTGTGAGGAGTGTGAGGAGTGAGTGGAGTGTGAGGAGTGAGTGGAGTGTGAGGAGTGTGAGGAGTGTGAGGAGTGTGAGGAGTGAGTGGAATGTGAGGAGTGAGTGGAGTGTGAGGAGTGTGAGGAGTGAGTGGAGTGTGAGGAGTGTGTGGAGTGTGAGGTGTGTGAGATGTGGATGAGTGTGAGGAGTGTGAGGAGTGTGTGGAGTGTGAGGAGTGTGTAGAGTGTGAGGAGTGTGTGGAGTGTGAGGAGTGAGTGGAGTGTGAGGAGTGTGATGAGTGAGTGGAGTGTGTAGAGTGTGAGGAGTGAGTGGAGTGTGAGGAGTGTGTGTGGAGTGTGAGGAGTGTGTGGAGTGTGAGGAGTGAGTGGAGTGTGAGGAGTGTGATGAGTGTGATGAGTGTGTAGAGTGTGAGGAGTGAGTGGAGTGTGAGGAGTGTGTGGAGTGAGTAGAGTGTGAGGAGTGAGTGGAGTGTGAGGAGTGTGATGAGTGAGTGGAGTGTGAGGAGTGTGAGGAACGTGATGAGTGTGATGAGTGTGAGGAGTGTGAGGAGTGAGTGGAGTGTGAGGAGTGTGAGGATGAGTGGAGTGTGAGGAGTGAGAGGATGAGTGGAGTGTGAGGAGTGAGAGGAGTGTGAGGAGTGTGAGGAGTGAGTGGAGTGTGAGGAGTGTGAGGAGTGAGTGGAGTGTGAGGAGTGAGAGAGTGTGAGGAGTGAGTGGAGTGTGAGGAGTGTGAGGAGTGAGTGGAGTGTGAGGAGTGTGAGGAGTGAGTGGAGTGAGTGGAGTGTGAGGAGTGGTGAGGAGTGAGTGGAGTGGTGTGGAGTGTGAGGAGTGTGAGGAGTGTGATGAGTGTGTGGAGTGAGTGGAGTGTGAAGAGTGAGAGGAGTGTGAGGAGTGAGTGGAGTGTGAGGAGTGTGAGGAGTGAGTGGAGTGTGAGGAGTGTGAGGAGTGTGAGGAGTGAGTGGAGTGTGAGGAGTGTGAGGAGTGAGTGGAGTGAGTGGAGTGTGAGGAGTGTGAGGAGTGTGATGAGTGTGTGGAGTGTGAGGAGTGTGTGGAGTGTGAGGAGTGTGAGGAGTGTGATGAGTGAGTGGAGTGTGAGGAGTGTGAGGAGTGAGTGGAGTGTGTGGAGTGTGAGGAGTGTGAGGAGTGAGTGGAGTGTGAGGAGTGTGATGAGTGTGAGGAGTGAGTGGAGTGTGAGGAGTGTGAGGAGTGTGATGAGTGTGAGGAGTGTGAGGAGTGAGTGGAGTGTGAGGAGTGAGTGGAGTGTGAGGAGTGTGAGGAGTGTGAGGAGTGTGAGGAGTGAGTGGAATGTGAGGAGTGAGTGGAGTGTGAGGAGTGTGAGGAGTGAGTGGAGTGTGAGGAGTGTGTGGAGTGTGAGGTGTGTGAGGAGTGTGATGAGTGTGAGGAGTGTGAGGAGTGTGTGGAGTGTGAGGAGTGTGTGGAGTGTGAGGAGTGTGTGGAGTGTGAGGAGTGAGTGGAGTGTGAGGAGTGTGATGAGTGAGTGGAGTGTGTAGAGTGTGAGGAGTGAGTGGAGTGTGAGGAGTGTGTGTGGAGTGTGAGGAGTGTGTGGAGTGTGAGGAGTGAGTGGAGTGTGAGGAGTGTGATGAGTGTGATGAGTGTGTAGAGTGTGAGGAGTGAGTGGAGTGTGAGGAGTGTGTGGAGTGAGTAGAGTGTGAGGAGTGAGTGGAGTGTGAGGAGTGTGATGAGTGAGTGGAGTGTGAGGAGTGTGAGGAGTGTGATGAGTGTGATGAGTGTGAGGAGTGTGAGGAGTGAGTGGAGTGTGAGGAGTGTGAGGAGTGAGTGGAGTGTGAGGAGTGAGAGGAGTGAGTGGAGTGTGAGGAGTGAGAGGAGTGTGAGGAGTGTGAGGAGTGAGTGGAGTGTGAGGAGTGTGAGGAGTGAGTGGAGTGTGAGGAGTGAGAGGAGTGTGAGGAGTGAGTGGAGTGTGAGGAGTGTGAGGAGTGAGTGGAGTGTGAGGAGTGTGAGGAGTGAGTGGAGTGAGTGGAGTGTGAGGAGTGTGAGGAGTGAGTGGAGTGTGTGGAGTGTGAGGAGTGTGAGGAGTGTGATGAGTGTGTGGAGTGAGTGGAGTGTGAAGAGTGAGAGGAGTGTGAGGAGTGAGTGGAGTGTGAGGAGTGTGAGGAGTGAGTGGAGTGTGAGGAGTGTGAGGAGTGAGTGGAGTGAGTGGAGTGTGAGGAGTGTGAGGAGTGAGTGGAGTGTGTGGAGTGTGAGGAGTGTGAGGAGTGTGATGAGTGTGTGGAGTGTGAGGAGTGTGAGGAGTGTGAGGAGTGTGATGAGTGAGTGGAGTGTGTAGAGTGTGAGGAGTGTGAGGAGTGAGTGGAGTGTGTGGAGTGTGAGGAGTGTGAGGAGTGAGTGGAGTGTGAGGAGTGTGAGGAGTGAGTGGAGTGTGAGGAGTGAGAGGAGTGAGTGGAGTGTGAGGAGTGAGAGGAGTGTGAGGAGTGTGAGGAGTGAGTGGAGTGTGAGGAGTGTGAGGAGTGAGTGGAGTGTGAGGAGTGAGAGGAGTGTGAGGAGTGAGTGGAGTGTGAGGAGTGTGAGTAGTGAGTGGAGTGTGAGGAGTGTGAGGAGTGAGTGGAGTGTGAGGAGTGAGTGGAGTGTGTGGAGTGTGAGGAGTGTGAGGAGTGTGATGAGTGTGTGGAGTGTGATGAGTGTGTGGAGTGTGAGGAGTGTGAGGAGTGTGAGGAGTGTGATGAGTGAGTGGAGTGTGTAGAGTGTGAGGAGTGAGTGGAGTGTGAGGAGTGTGATGAGTGAGAGGAGTGTGAGGAGTGAGTGGAGTGTGAGGAGTGAGTGGAGTGTGAGGAGTGTGATGAGTGTGATGAGTGTGAGGAGTGTGAGGAGTGAGTGGAGTGTGAGGAGTGAGTGGAGTGTGAGGAGTGTGAGGAGTGAGTGGAGTGTGAGGAGTGTGAGGAGTGAGTGGAATGTGAGGAGTGAGTGGAGTGTGAGGAGTGTGAGGAGTGAGTGGAGTGTGAGGAGTGTGTGGAGTGTGAGGTGTGTGAGGAGTGTGATGAGTGTGAGGAGTGAGTGGAGTATGAGGAGTGTGATGAGTGAGTGGAGTGTGTGGAGTGTGATGAGTGTGTGGAGTGTGATGAGTGTGATGAGTGTGAGGAGTGTGAGTGGAGTGAGGAGTGAGTGGAGTGTGAGGAGTGTGAGGAGTGTGATGAGTGTGAGGAGTGTGAGGAGTGTGAGGAGTGAGTGGAGTGTGAGGAGTGTGAGGAGTGAGTGGAGTGTGAGGAGTGAGAGGAGTGAGTGGAGTGTGAGGAGTGAGAGGAGTGTGAGGAGTGTGAGGAGTGAGTGGAGTGTGAGGAGTGTGAGGAGTGAGTGGAGTGTGAGGAGTGAGAGGAGTGTGAGGAGTGAGTGGAGTGTGAGGAGTGTGAGGAGTGAGTGGAGTGTGAGGAGTGTGAGGAGTGAGTGGAGTGTGTGGAGTGTGAGGAGTGTGAGGAGTGTGATGAGTGTGTGGAGTGTGAGGAGTGTGTGGAGTGTGAGGAGTGTGAGGAGTGTGATGAGTGAGTGGAGTGTGTAGAGTGTGAGGAGTGTGAGGAGTGAGTGGAGTGTGTGGAGTGTGAGGAGTGTGAGGAGTGAGTGGAGTGTGAGGAGTGTGATGAGTGTGAGGAGTGTGAGGAGTGTGAGGAGTGAGTGGAGTGTGAGGAGTGTGAGGAGTGAGTGGAGTGTGAGGAGTGAGAGGAGTGAGTGGAGTGTGAGGAGTGAGTGGAGTGTGAGGAGTGTGAGGAGTGTGAGGAGTGTGATGAGTGAGTGGAGTGTGTAGAGTGTGATGAGTGTGATGAGTGTGAGAAGTGTGAGGAGTGTGAGGAGTGTGAGGAGTGGGTGGAGTGTGAGGAGTGTGAGGAGTGTGATGAGTGTGAGGAGTGTGAGGAGTGTGAGGAGTGAGTGTGAGGAGTGTGAGGAGTGTGATGAGTGAGTGGAGCGAGGAGCGGAGCGCGCGGCGCATTTGATTTTTGGCGGGAACTGCACACGGGTCACGTGATCGGGGACAGTGAACGCGGAAGAGGGCCGGTGGCAACAACACGGCGCGTGGAGCGGATACAGTGAGTGGTGTACAGTGGGTGGTGTACAGTGAGTGGTGTACAGAGTGTGGTGTTCAGAGTGTGGTGTTCAGAGTGTGGTGTACAGTGGGTGGTGTACAGTGCGTGGTGTTCAGAGCGTGGTGTACAGTGAGTGGGCACAGTGAGTGGTGCGCAGTGCGGTGGTGTGCACCGCCTATTCAGCTGTGTGGGCGAGTGGTGTGTATGATTGTGTTTGTGGTGTGTATGATTGTGTGGTGGTGTGTATGACTTTGTTGTGGTGTGTATGATTGTGTTTGTGGTGTGTATGATTGTGTTGTGGTGTGTATGATTGTGTTGTGGTGTATATGACTGTGTTGTGGTGTGTATGACTTTGTTGTGGGGTGTATGATTGTGTTTGTGGTGTGTATGACTGTGTTGTGGTGTGTATGACTTTGTTGTGGTGTGTATGATTGTGTTTGTGGTGTGTATGATTGTGTTTGTGGTGTGTATGATTGTGTTGTGGTGTGTATGACTTTGTTGTGGTGTGTATGATTGTGTTTGTGGGGTGTATGATTGTGTTGTGGTGTGTATGATTGTGTTGTGGTGTATGTGATTGTGTTGTGGTGTGTATGATTGTGTTGTGTGTGTGATTGTGTTGTGGTGTGTGTGATTGTGGTGTGTGTGATTGTGTTTGTGGTGTGTCTGATTGTGTTGTTGTGTGTATGATTGTGTTGTGTATGATTGTGTTGTGGTGTGTATGATTGTGTTTGTGGTGTGTATGATTGTGTTGTGGCGTGTATGATTGTGTTCAGGTGTGTATGATTGTGTTTGTGGTGTGTGTGATTGTGTTGTGGTGTGTGATTGTGTTGTGGTGTGTATGATTGTGTTGTGATGTGTATGATTGTGTTGTGGTGTGTATGATTGTGCTGTGTATGATTGTGTTTGTGGTGTGTATGATTGTGTTGTGGTGTGTATGATTGTGTTGTGGGGTGTATGATTGTGTTGTGTATGATTGTGTTGTGATGTGTATGACTGTTGTGGTGTATATGATTGTGTCGTGGTGTGTATGATTGTGTTGTGGTGTGTATGATTGTGTTATGGTGTGTATGATTGTGTTGTGTATGATTGTGTTGTGATGTGTATGACTGTGTTGTGGTGTATATGATTGTGTTGTGGTGTGTATAATTGTGTTTGTGGTGTGTATGATTGTGTTGTGGTGTATATGATTGTGTTGTGTATGATTGTGTTTGTGGTGTGTATGATTGTGTTGTGGTGTGTATGACTGTGTTGTGGTGTGTATGACTTTGTTGTGGTGTGTATGATTGTGTTTGTGGTGTGTATGATTGTGTTGTGTGTATGATTGTGATGTGTATGATTGTGTTTATGGTGTGTATGATTGTGTTGTGGTGTGTATGACTGTTGTGGTGTGTATGACTGTGTTGTGGTGTGTATGATTGTGTTGTGGTGTGTATGATTGTGTTTGTGGTGTGTATGATTGTGTTGTGGTATGTATGATTGTGTTTTGTGTTGTGGTGTGTATGATTGTGTTGTGGTGTGTATGATTGTGTTGTGTGTATGATTGTGTTGCGGTGTTTTTGATTGTGGTGTGTATGGTTGTGTTGTGGTGTGTATGATTGTGTTGTGGTGTGTATGATTATGTTGTGGTGTATATGATTGTGTTGTGGTGTGTGATTGTGTTGTGGTGTGTGTGATTGTGTTGTGATGTGTGCGATTGTGTTGTGGTGTGTAGGATTGTATTGTGGTGTGTATAATTGTGTTGTGGTGTGTATGATTGTGTTGTGGTGTGTATGATTGTGTCGTGGTGTGTATGATTGTGTCGTGGTATGTATGATTGTGTTGTGGTGTGTATGATTGTGTTGTGGTGTGTATGATTGTGTTGTGTATGATTGTGTTGTGGTGTGTATGATTGTGTTGTGGTGTGTATGATTGTGTTGTGGTGTGTATGATTGTGTTGTGGTGTGTATGATTGTTTTGTATAGGATTGTGTTGTGGTGTGTGTGATTGCGTTGTGGTGTGTGTGATTGCGTTGTGGTGTGTGTGATTGCGTTGTGGTGTGGGTGATTGCGTTGTGGTGTGTGTGATTGGGTTGTGGTGTGTGTGATTGCGTTGTGGTGTTGTGATTGCGTTGTGGTGTGTGTGATTGCGTTGTGGTGTGGGTGATTGTGTTGTGGTGTGTGTGATTGTGTAGGTGGTAGTGGGATGTGCGTGTTGTCATGTTGCAGTGATGTGGTGTGTGTAGTGTGGTGGTTGTGTTCTGACGTGGTGTTGATGTTGTAGTGTGGTGGTCGTGTTGTGTGGTTATGACGTGGTTGTAGTGTTGTGGTTGTGACCTGGTGGTTGTTGTTGCATCGAGGTGGTTGGGACGTGGTGATTGGTGGTTGTGTTGGTGTGTGTAGGTGGTTGTGGTCGTGTTGTGTGGTTGTGACGTGGTGGTGGTTGTCGTATTCTGGTTGTGACATGGTGGTTGTGTCGAGGTCGTTTGTGACGTGGTGGTAGTTGCGTGTGGCTGGTTGTGGTAGTTGCGTGTGGCTGGTTGTGGCAGTGTTGTGTGGTTGCGACGTGGTGGTTGTTGCGTCGAGGTGGTTGTCACATGGTGATGGTGGTTGTGTTGTTGCGTGTAGGTTGGTTGTGGGGGTGCGCGGAGATGTCGGCAGGACCCCCCCCGAGTCTCGTGGTCTTCTCCCACTGCGGCCCCCGCGTGGTGGTGGGGGTGCGGGTGCCCCCGCTGTGTCCGCTCTGCGGGGCATCCCTCGAGGGGGTCCCCCTCTCCGAGCCCCCCGTGAGCCTCCGAGCCCCCCTCTCCAGCGCCCACAGCTCCCCACATCAGCTGGCCGTGCGGCCCACGCGGGGGGACTTCCTCACGTGAGCCACAGGGGTGGAGAGGAGGGGGGGTGATGCTTACGATGATGCCGTTCACATTGTTGGTGGTGATGATGATGCTATGTTGATGGCGATGTTGATGTCGTCCACAGTGATTACCACGAAGGAGTGGATCTGCACGTTGGCATCAGCGACTCCCAAGGTGCGACGGGTGATGATGGTTGAAATTAATGATTGTGATGGTGGTGATGAGTGGTGGTGGTGGTGGCCTTATCAATATTTTGCTCCTATAAATTTGTTACACGATAATCCACTTTGTTGAGCTATCGTTTGTGGCCAGGTCGCTTCTGCAAAAAGAAGTGGGATTTACCTGTTAAGATACAAAAACATGTTTAGTTTTATTTGCCTTTTTTTACGATTTGTTTACCTTTCCGAAACTCTGCACTCCGTGTTTTTGTTCTGTTGTTGGAGCGTTCTGACCCCGTGGCCCTCCTGGACATGTGTTCAAAAGAGCTTTATAGCTCACCGGATTCCTCCTGCAGTGGTGACGATGTTGCTGCGGCATTGTTATTGTTGTCGATGTCGTTCACAGGTGGGGTGTTCCACTTCTGGGAGGGGGGCGTTTCTCGCGATGCCTGTGGATGGGGGTCCTGCGTCTGTGTGCCCCTGCTCGATTGCATCGCACCCCAGGGGTCTGAGGAGCCCTGGGGTGGAGGGTGGGGGGCTTGGGGGTGGGGGCTCGGGGGGGGCTGGGGGGCCGGTAACCCCCTCTGGGACTCGCATTTGGAGGCCATGGCCCAGAGCGTGGAGTGGAGCAGCGAGAGGTAAACACTCACGATGCGTGTGTGTGCACACGTGTGTGCGTGTGTGCGGTGAGTGGGGAGCGTTAGTGTAGCGGTTAGCGCACTGCACTATGAACCGGGCAAACCGGGCAAACCGAGTTCGATTCCCGCTCATGGACAACACCAGTGACAATTACTTGAATCGGTTCCAGGCCGCCCCAAGGTCGACCCACCACTGGGGAGACAAAGGCGGCCGGGCGTCGTGTTGGCCACCCACCTCCTTGTGTGCCAGCCTTCATAAGTGCTCGCTAAGAGCACTTGCCCCAACAGTCTGTCAAGGCTATACATGGAACCTTTGCCTTTGTGGTGAGTGTAGGGAGCGGTGGTGTGGCGGTTGTACTGCGCTACAAACCTGGCGACCCGGCCACGACCAGTGACAATTATCTGAACCACTCCAAGGCTTATCCTAGGTCAACTGGGCCTCAAATGAGTGCCTGGTGCGGTGTCTAAACATGTCTAACGGCAGCCGGGCGTGGCGCTGGCCACCCACCCCCTTGTGTGCCGTGCCGACCTTCGTAGGTGCTACTCCTCGCTAACACCACTTTCCCCAAACAGTCTACGAAAGGCTACACGGGGGCGGGGGGGGTGGGCCGGGGGGAATCTTTGTCTTTGTGGTGAGCAGCTACGAGGAGCTCGCCCACAACTGCTTCGACTTCGCCCTCGCGTTCCTCGCCCTCGTGCAGCAGCGGCTGGCGCCGCCCGCGAGGGGCAGCCCCACGGAGCCCACCACGGGACGCACACAACCCACATCGCGAGAGAGGTGGCGAGAGGAGGAGAGTGGAGGGAGGGGGGTGAGGAGGAGGAGGAGGAGCGAGGAGGGAGTGAGTGACTCGGCGAGTGTGTCGGCGAGTGACGCGGCGAGTGACGCGGCGAGTGGCTCTCTGAGTAACTCTGCGAGTGACTCCTCTGCGAGTGTTCCGGGGAGGGAGCGAGCCAGGCTACGGCTGGTGGAGCGAGTCCTCGTGCCAGCGACACGCCGCGTCTCCCGCTACCTCACCGTGCTCGCCCACGTGCTCGCCCACGGCTACTACCTCGCCTCGGAGCTCCCCCCTGACACGTAACCCCCTGACCCAACCTCCATCCCCCCCCCCCCCCATCGTCTCCTGTCTCTCCCTCTCTTGCTCTGCACGCGGCGCAAGACCCAGAATTCCCGTCTTGTGTCAGACTTGTTCCCATCTCGCGCGATTTTGCAGGTGAAATGTGAAATTTTGTGAAAGTAAAACAAATGAAACCGCTAATAAGGATGATGATGACCACGATGATAGTAAGAATGATGATGATCATGGTGAGAATGATGACGCATTGGCGAGGTCACTTGACTGAGCGCTCTTTAATCAGACAGCTGCTGTACACGACGAGGAGAGGGCCACAAAAACCCCCACACAGCCAAGCCCCCCCCCCCCCCAAAGCTATCCACAGTGTGGGGGGGGGGGCAGATGGCGAGCTTGTGGAGGGGGTTGTGCTGCCTCTGCTCCACCCCAACCGTTGCTGCGCAACAATCCATTAAATAATTGGGTGGGGGGTGGGTTGTTGCTATCGGTGCGTACAAAAGGAATTGCGATTGGTGAGCAATAATTAAAAACGCCACCACTACAGCTGTGCCCCCAGGTTGCCCTGGGTAAGCACCCCCCCGCCCCCGCTTCCACGGCCCCCCACCGCCCTGCCCATAGCCCCTGCCCCCCCCCCCCCCAGCAGCAGTGTGAATGAATGGCTTTCACCGCAGTGAAGTTTGATCGGCAGGTCCGCGGTATTTGGTCTACTCTTCCACGCCGGCCTAGCGAGTCTCGGTAAAAAGAGGCGGGGAGTTAGCCATACTTGATCCCACCACACGATGGCCGCATGGTGGGATAAAATGTGGGTAACTCCGTGCATCTTTTACCGAGACGCGCTGGCCAGAGTGGAAGAGTAGGCCAAACAGCGCTACTCCAGAGGGGCTGTAGAGAGCGGCCTCTAGTGGAGACTTGTCTGACGGCGGTGTGTGAGTGCGCACGACTGCGCCTTGCGATCGGTAATTGCGCCCTTCCCTTAGAACAATACAAAATATTCACACCAGCAACACCACATCCAGTATCCAGACTCTCGCCTACAGCTGTGGCTACTACTAATCCAGCCTCGCATCGACCACCCCTCCCCTAGCGGCTCGGCGCTTCACGGCCGCGTCCACGATGGCACGATCCCTAACCCCATGGACTCGCGCGTCCAACCTGCTTCTGCGCTGAGCTTCGCAAAAATTCCACCTCTTAAGAATTAAAATACCGTCGCGCGACGGGGCACCACTCTCGTATGGCAGGGAGCGTGGGTCAGTGCCGCTCTCTGCTGCGTGTGGAGCAGAAGACGCCGGAAGAGAGATCTCGGAGGTAGCCCTCTGATATCCGCTTCCACGGGTTATGTCCTCGAATAACTTTGAGAGGAGCTGCACCGCCGCCGCCGCCGCCGCTGTCCGTGCGAGATTCCCGAATGGATTCCTCGTCCCGTGATGCCGCCGGCCCCCCCCCCACGCCACCGGACTCCTCAGCTGGGTTTAGGAGCCCCCCCCTCGCGCCGCAGGGGGTTGGGCGCAGGCCTCGAGGCGCAGGCGGAGGGCCCCGTGGGCGTGCAGGGAGCGCAGGAGTTGAAACTCGAGGGGCAGCTGGTGCGACTCCTGCCAGCGCGTGCTGAACTTGGCCCCTGGTGCGTCGTAGTAGTGGTAGGGGATGGGGCCACCGGTGCGGGGGTCCCAGGCGAAGGGCCAGAAGCCGTAGAGGTCGGTGCGGTCGCAGAGCGAGGCGCACAGCGACGCCATGAGCAGCCCCGTGCTCAGCCGCTTGGGGGACAGCCCCTTGGTGCGCCAGAACCTGGGACGCGAGGGGAGACACGCGGAGACGTGGGGACAGACGCCCTTGGTGCGCCAGAACCTGGGACGCGAGGGGAGACACGCGGAGACGTGGGGACAGACGCCCTTGGTGCGCCAGAACCTGGGACGCGAGGGGAGACACGCGGAGACGTGGGGACAGACGCCCTTGGTGCGCCAGAACCTGGGACGCGAGGGGAGACACGCGGAGACGTGGGGACAGACGCCCTTGGTGCGCCAGAACCTGGGACGCGAGGGGAGACACGCGGAGACGTGGGGACAGACGCCCTTGGTGCGCCAGAACCTGGGACGCGAGGGGAGACACGCGGAGACGTGGGGACAGCCGCCCTTGGTGCGCCAGAACCTGGGACGCGAGGGGAGACACGCGGAGACGTGGGGACAGACGCCCTTGGTGCGCCAGAACCTGGGACGCGAGGGGAGACACGCGGAGACGTGGGGACAGACGCCCTTGGTGCGCCAGAACCTGGGAGGCGAGGGGAGACACGCGGAGACGTGGGGACAGACGCCCTTGGTGCGCCAGAACCTGGGAGGCGAGGGGAGACACGCGGAGACGTGGGGACAGACGCCCTTGGTGCGCCAGAACCTGGGACGCGAGGGGAGACACGCGGAGACGTGGGGACAGACGCCCTTGGTGCGCCAGAACCTGGGACGCGAGGGGAGACACGCGGAGACGTGGGGACAGACGCCCTTGGTGCGCCAGAACCTGGGACGCGAGGGGAGACACGCGGAGACGTGGGGACAGACGCCCTTGGTGCGCCAGAACCTGGGACGCGAGGGGAGACACGCGGAGACGTGGGGACAGACGCCCTTGGTGCGCCAGAACCTGGGACGCGAGGGGAGACACGCGGAGACGTGGGGACAGACGCCCTTGGTGCGCCAGAACCTGGGACGCGAGGGGAGACACGCGGAGACGTGGGGACAGACGCCCTTGGTGCGCCAGAACCTGGGACGCGAGGGGAGACACGCGGAGACGTGGGGACAGACGCCCTTGGTGCGCCAGAACCTGGGACGCGAGGGGAGACACGCGGAGACGTGGGGACAGACGCCCTTGGTGCGCCAGAACCTGGGACGCGAGGGGAGACACGCGGAGACGTGGGGACAGACGCCCTTGGTGCGCCAGAACCTGGGACGCGAGGGGAGACACGCGGAGACGTGGGGACAGACGCCCTTGGTGCGCCAGAACCTGGGACGCGAGGGGAGACACGCGGAGACGTGGGGACAGACGCCCTTGGTGCGCCAGAACCTGGGACGCGAGGGGAGACACGCGGAGACGTGGGGACAGACGCCCTTGGTGCGCTAGAATCTGGGAGACGCGGAGACAAGGGGGGACACACCCTTGGTGCGCCAGAACCTGGGACGCGAGGGGAGACACGCGGAGACGTGGGGACAGACGCCCTTGGTGCGCCAGAACCTGGGACGCGAGGGGAGACACGCGGAGACGTGGGGACAGACGCCCTTGGTGCGCCAGAACCTGGGACGCGAGGGGAGACACGCGGAGACGTGGGGACAGACGCCCTTGGTGCGCCAGAACCTGGGACGCGAGGGGAGACACGCGGAGACGTGGGGACAGACGCCCTTGGTGCGCTAGAACCTGGGACGCGAGGGGAGACACGCGGAGACGTGGGGACAGACGCCCTTGGTGCGCTAGAACCTGGGACGCGAGGGGAGACACGCGGAGACGTGGGGACAGACACCCTTGGTGCGCCAGAACCTGGGACGCGAGGGGAGACACGCGGAGACGTGGGGACAGACGCCCTTGGTGCGCCAGAACCTGGGACGCGAGGGGAGACACGCGGAGACGTGGGGACAGACGCCCTTGGTGCGCCAGAACCTGGGACGCGAGGGGAGACACGCGGAGACGTGGGGACAGACGCCCTTGGTGCGCCAGAACCTGGGACGCGAGGGGAGACACGCGGAGACGTGGGGACAGACACCCTTGGTGCGCCAGAACCTGGGACGCGAGGGGAGACACGCGGAGACGTGGGGACAGACACCCTTGGTGCGCCAGAACCTGGGACGCGAGGGGAGACACGCGGAGACGTGGGGACAGACGCCCTTGGTGCGCCAGAACCTGGGACGCGAGGGGAGACACCCTTGGTGCGCTGGAATCTGGGAGACGCGGAGACAAGGGGGGACACACGGGGAGATGCGGGGAGACAGACCCCTGGTGCCCCCCCCAGAACCTGGAAGATGCAGAGGACACGGGGTGGGGGGGGGGGGGCACAGGGAGACGGGCCGTCGGGGCGCCAGAACCTGTTAGTAGCGATGTTGATGTTGGTGACGTTGATGGTGGAAGTGACGGTGGTGATGGTTATCTCAGTCGACCCGTGGCACCTGCTGGGTCTGCCCCCGTGACCTCCTGCCAGCGGGCGTTCGACACTTCACGTGGCCTCAACGCGCACGTGGCCTGGCACAAGCGTCGTGGCGACGTCACCGCCACTTAGTGGCGAATGGCGGTTGTTGGTGTTGATGGGACCGTACCGGGTGATATTGGTGACGATGTCGCCAGGCCAGGCGAGGCGAACCCGAATGACGTCTGAGTCGGTGTGGTTGTGGCCATCGTCCGCATCGTCGCCCTGCTGCTCCCCGTCTCCATCGTGAATCTCTCTGTGGCCTGAGTCACACCAGAGAACGTAACTCACCAACAACAACCACCACCAGCACAACTGCAACAACCACCAGTACAAGCACAACATCGCGAGCAACAACAACAACAACCACCAGTACAAGCACAACATCGCGAGCAACAACAAGCACAATATCGCCACCACCGACACAACTCCAAGCACAACTCATTCCAATCTACGTGTGGCGAGTGAGTGATGTGGTGAGTGACGTGCGAGTGACGTGCGAGTGACGTGACGAGTGAATGATGTGGTGAGTGCGTGGTGAGTGTGTGGGTGGTGAGTGACGTGGTGAGTGCGTGGCGAGTGAGTGATCTGGTGAGTGAGTAGTGAGTGACGTAGTGAGTGAGTGATGTGGTGAGTAGTGAGTGACGTGGTGAGTGAGTGACGTGGTGAGTGACGTGGTGAGTGAGTGAGTGCGTGGTGAGTGAGTGACGTGGTGAGTGAGTGAGTGAGGTGGTGAGTGAGTGAGTGACGTGGTGAGTGCGTGGTGAGTGAGTGACGTGGTGAGTGCGTGGTGAGTGAGTGAGTGACGTGGTGAGTGAGTGACGTGGTGAATGCGTGGTGAGTGAGTGACGTGGTGAGTGCGTGGTGAGTGCGTGGTGAGTGAGTGACGTGGTGAGTGAGTGCGTGGTGAGTGAGTGACGTGGTGAGTGAGTGTGTGGTGAGTGAGTGACGTGGTGAGTGAGTGAGTGACGTGGTGAGTAATGTGGTGAGTGCGTAGTGAGTGAGTGACGTGGTGAGTGCGTGGCGAGTCAGTGAGTGACGTGGTGAGTGACGTGGTGAGTGCGTGGCGAGTCAGTGAGTGACGTGGTGAGTGACGTGGTGAGTGCGTGGCGAGTCAGTGACGTGACGTGATGAGTGAGTGGTGAGTGCGGAGTGAGTGAGTGACGTGGTGAGTGAGTGACATGGTGAGTGACGTGGTGAGTGAGTGACGTGGTGAGTGAGTGACGTCGTGAGTGCGTGGTGAGTGATGTGGTGAGTGAATGACATGGTGAGTGCGTGGCGAGTGAGTGAGTGACGTGGTGAGTGACGTGGTGAGTGTGGTGAATGAGTGAGTGATGTGGTGAGTGCGTGGCGAGTGAGTGAGTGACATGGTGAGTGACGTGGTGAGTGTGTGGTGAGTGAGTGACGTGGTGAGTGCGTGGTGAGTGAGTGATGTGGTGAGTGCGTGGTGAGTGAGTGACGTGGTGAGTGCATGACGAGTGTGACGTGGTGAGTGAGTGACGTGGTGAGTGAGTGACGTGGTGAGTGCGTGTTGAAGTGCCCGGGTGGCGTGGTGAGTGGGCGGAGTGCGGCGCTCACCGGGCTCTAGGAAGAAGTCAGTGAGTGCGTGGTGAGTGCGTGGTAAGTGAGTGACGTGGTGAGTGAGTGACGTGGTGAGTGCGTGGTGAGTGACGTGGTGAGTGCGTGGTGAGTGAGTGACGTGGTGAGTGAGTGAGTGAGTGACGTGGTGAGTGTGTGGTGAGTGACGTGGTGAGTGGCGTGGTGAGTGAGTGACGTGGTGAGTGGGCGGAGTGCGGCGCTCACCGGGCTCTAGGAAGAAGTCTGTGAGTGCGCGGGTGACGTGGTGAGTGAGTGACGTGGTGAGTCACGTGGTGAGTGAGTGAGTGACGTGGTGAGTGAGTGACGTGGTGAGTGGGCGGAGTGCGGCGCTCACCGGGCTCTAGGAAGAAGTCTGTGAGTGCGCGGGTGACGTGGTGAGTGAGTGACGTGGTGAGTGAGTGACGTGGTGAGTGACGTGGTGAGTGAGTGACGTGGTGAGTGGGCGGAGTGCGGCGCTCACCGGGCTCTAGGAAGAAGTCTGTGAGTGCGCGGGTGACGTGGTGAGTGAGTGACGTGGTGAGTGACGTGGTGAGTGAGTGACGTGGTGAGTGAGTGACGTGGTGAGTGAGTGAGTGACGTGGTGAGTGACGTGGTGAGTGAGTGACGTGGTGAGTGGGCGGAGTGCGGCGCTCACCGGGCTCTAGGAAGAAGTCTGTGAGTGCGCGGGTGACGTGGTGAGTGAGTGACGTGGTGAGTGACGTGGTGAGTGAGTGACGTGGTGAGTGAGTGAGTGACGTGGTGAGTGACGTGGTGAGTGAGTGACGTGGTGAGTGGGCGGAGTGCGGCGCTCACCGGGCTCTTGGAAGAAGTCTGTGAGTGCGCGGGTGACGTGGTGAGTGAGTGACGTGGTGAGTGACGTGGTGAGTGAGTGACGTGGTGAGTGAGTGACGTGGTGAGTGACGTGGTGAGTGAGTGACGTGGTGAGTGGGCGGAGTGCGGCGCTCACCGGGCTCTAGGAAGAAGTCTGTGAGTGCGCGGGTGACGTGGTGAGTGAGTGACGTGGTGAGTGACGTGGTGAGTGAGTGACGTGGTGAGTGAGTGAGTGACGTGGTGAGTGAGTGAGTGACGTGGTGAGTGACGTGGTGAGTGAGTGACGTGGTGAGTGGGCGGAGTGCGGCGCTCACCGGGCTCTAGGAAGAAGTCTGTGAGTGCGCGGGTGACGTGGTGAGTGAGTGACGTGGTGAGTGACGTGGTGAGTGAGTGACGTGGTGAGTGAGTGAGTGACGTGGTGAGTGACGTGGTGAGTGAGTGACGTGGTGAGTGGGCGGAGTGCGGCGCTCACCGGGCTCTAGGAAGAAGTCTGTGAGTGCGCGGGTGACGTGGTGCGTGAGTGACGTGGTGAGTGATGTGGTGAGTGAGTGGTGAGTGTGTGGTGAGTGACGTGGTGAGTGGCGTGGTGAGTGAGTGACGTGGTGAGTGGGCGGAGTGCGGCGCTCACCGGGCTCTAGGAAGAAGTCTGTGAGTGCGCGGGTGACGTGGTGAGTGAGTGACGTGGTGAGTGACGTGGTGAGTGAGTGACGTGGTGAGTGAGTGAGTGACGTGGTGAGTGGGCGGAGTGCGGCGCTCACCGGGCTCTAGGAAGAAGTCTGTGAGTGCGCGGGTGACGTGGTGAGTGAGTGACGTGGTGAGTGCGTGACGTGGTGAGTGAGTGACGTGGTGAGTGAGTGACGTGGTGAGTGACGTGGTGAGTGGCGTGGTGAGTGAGTGACGTGGTGAGTGGGCGGAGTGCGGCGCTCACCGGGCTCTAGGAAGAAGTCTGTGAGTGCGCGGGTGACGTGGTGAGTGAGTGACGTGGTGAGTGACGTGGTGAGTGACGTGGTGAGTGACGTGGTGAGTGGGCGGAGTGCGGCGCTCACCGGGCTCTAGGAAGAAGTCTGTGAGTGCGCGGGTGACGTGGTGAGTGAGTGACGTGGTGAGTGACGTGGTGAGTGAGTGACGTGGTGAGTGACGTGGTGAGTGAGTGACGTGGTGAGTGGGCGGAGTGCGGCGCTCACCGGGCTCTAGGAAGAAGTCTGTGAGTGCGCGGGTGACGTGGTGAGTGAGTGACGTGGTGAGTGACGTGGTGAGTGGCGTGGTGAGTGGGCGGAGTGCGGCGCTCACCGGGCTCTAGGAAGAAGTCTGTGAGTGCGCGGGTGACGTGGTGAGTGAGTGACGTGATGAGTGACGTGGTGAGTGAGTGACGTGGTGAGTGACGTGGTGAGTGAGTGACGTGGTGAGTGGGCGGAGTGCGGCGCTCACCGGGCTCTAGGAAGAAGTCTGTGAGTGCGCGGGTGACGTGGTGAGTGAGTGACGTGGTGAGTGACGTGGTGAGTGAGTGACGTGGTGAGTGGGCGGAGTGCGGCGCTCACCGGGCTCTAGGAAGAAGTCTGTGAGTGCGCGGGTGACGTGGTGAGTGAGTGACGTGATGAGTGACGTGGTGAGTGAGTGACGTGGTGAGTGGGCGGAGTGCGGCGCTCACCGGGCTCTAGGAAGAAGTCTGTGAGTGCGCGAGTGGCGTGGTGAGTGAGTGGCGTGGTGAGTGAGTGGCGTGGTGAGTGAGTGGCGTGGTGAGTGAGTGGCGTGGTGAGTGAGTGGCGTGGTGAGTGAGTGGCGTGGTGAGTGACGTGGTGAGTGAGTGGCGTGGTGAGTGGGCGGAGTGCGGCGCTCACCGGGCTCTAGGAAGAAGTCTGTGAGTGCGCGGGTGACGTGGTGAGTGAGTGACGTGGTGAGTGACGTGGTGAGTGAGTGACGTGGTGAGTGAGTGAGTGACGTGGTGAGTGAGTGAGTGACGTGGTGAGTGACGTGGTGAGTGAGTGAGTGAGTGACGTGGTGAGTGGGCGGAGTGCGGCGCTCACCGGGCTCTAGGAAGAAGTCTGTGAGTGCGCGGGTGACGTGGTGAGTGAGTGACGTGATGAGTGACGTGGTGAGTGAGTGACGTTGTGAGTGACGTGTTGAGTGAGTGACGTGGTGAGTGGGCGGAGTGCGGCGCTCACCGGGCTCTAGGAAGAAGTCTGTGAGTGCGCGGGTGACGTGGTGAGTGAGTGACGTGATGAGTGACGTGGTGAGTGAGTGACGTGGTGAGTGACGTGGTGAGTGAGTGACGTGGTGAGTGGGCGGAGTGCGGCGCTCACCGGGCTCTAGGAAGAAGTCTGTGAGTGCGCGGGTGACGTGGTGAGTGAGTGACGTGGTGAGTGACGTGGTGAGTGAGTGACGTGGTGAGTGAGTGAGTGACGTGGTGAGTGAGTGAGTGAGTGACGTGGTGAGTGGCGTGGTGAGTGAGTGACGTGGTGAGTGGGCGGAGTGCGGCGCTCACCGGGCTCTAGGAAGAAGTCTGTGAGTGCGCGGGTGACGTGGTGAGTGAGTGACGTGGTGAGTGACGTGGTGAGTGAGTGACGTGGTGAGTGGGCGGAGTGCGGCGCTCACCGGGCTCTAGGAAGAAGTCTGTGAGTGCGCGGGTGACGTGGGCGCTCGTGTGGAAGAGGAACGCCGGCACCCACAGGAGGGCGTGCCCCAGCGCCGCCAAGCGCGAGCGGAACCGAGCGCGGTCCGGCTCCGTGAGCAGCCCCCCGTAGGCGGTCTCCAGGATACTGAGGAGGGGCCGGCGGGCGTGGGCCGGTGGGGGGGGGGCATTGAGGGCGGGGGGGGGGGGGCATCGAGGGCGGGGGGGGGGGGTCGAGGAATGGGGGGAGTGCAGAGAGTCGTGATAGAACTCAGGGAGAAGACGACGCGGAGAAGGCGGCCGGTGAGCGGTGAGCGGTGAGCGTGCCAGAGGTTGGCGGCTCACCTCGGATTGAAGGTGGTGAGGTTGGTGAGGTTGCCCACGTCCGGGCCATAGCGGATGCCCCCCGTCGGGGCAAAGTTGCAGCGAATCACGAAGGTGTGGGCGTCGATCTCGCGACCGCAGCCGCTGCCCCGGAGCAGCCCGCTGCTGCCCACCACGGCGCACGAGGGCAGCCGCCCACACGCCTGCACGCGCACACAGGCACAGTGAGTGGGCGGGCGGGTGGGTAGGTCAGTGGGTGGGTGAGTGGGTAGGTGAGTGGGAAGGTGAGTGGGAAGGTGAGTGGTTGGGTGAGTGGGAAGGTGAGTGGGTGAGAGGTTGAGTGGGTAAATGAGTGGGTGGGTGAGTGGGTAGGTGAGTTGTTGGGTGAGTAGGAAGGTGAGTGGGTAGGTGAGTGGGTGAGAGGGTGAGTGGTTATGTGAATGGGTGGGTGATTGGTTGGGTGAGTGGGAAGGTGAGTGGGTGAGAGGGTGAATGGGTAAATGAGTGGGTGGGTGGGTGTGTGGGTAGGTGAGTGGGTAAATGAGTGGGTGGGTGAGTGGGTAGGTGAGTTGTTGGGTGAGTGGGAAGGTGAGTGGGTAGGTGAGTAGGTGAGAGGATGATTGGTTGGGTGAGTAGGTAGGTCAGTCGGTAGGTGAGTGGTTGGATGAGTGGGAAGGTGAGTGTGTAGATGAGTGGGTGAGTGGTTAGGTGAGTGGGTGGGTTATTGGTTGGGTGAGTAGGTAGGTCAGTCGGTAGGTGAGTGGTTGGGTGAGTGGGAAGGTGAGTGGGTGAGTGGTTTGGTGAGTGGGTAGGTGAGTGGTTGGGCAAGTGGGTAAATGAGTGGGTGGGTGAGTGGGTAGGTGGGTGGGTAAATGAGTGGGTGGGTGAGTGGGTAGGTGAGTGGTTGGGTGAGTGGGAAGGTGAGTGGGTAGGTGAGGTGAGAGGGTGAGTGGTTAGGTGAGTGGGTGGGTGATTGTTTGGGTGAGTAGGTAGGTCAGTCGGTAGGTGAGTGGTTGGGTGAGTGGGAAGGTGAGTGGGTGAGTGGTTTGGTGAGTGGGTAGGTGAGTGGTTGGGCGAGTGGGTAAATGAGTGGATGGGTGAGTGGGTAGGTGAGTGGGTAAATGAGTGGGTGGGTGAGTGGGTAGGTGAGTGGTTGGGTGAGTGGGAAGGTGAGTGGGTAGGTGAGTAGGTGAGAGGGTGAGTGGTTAGGTGAGTGGGTGATTTGTTGGGTGAGTAGGTAGGTCAGTCGCTAGGTGAGTGGTTGGGTGAATGGGAAGGTGCGTGGGTGAGAGGGTGAGTGGTTAGGTGAGTGGGTAGGTGAGTGGGTAGGTGAGTGGGTAAATGAGTGGGTGGGTGAGTGGGAAGGTGAGTGGGTAGGTGAGTGGGTGAGAGGGTGAGTGGTTATGTGAGTGGGTGGGTGATTGGTTGGGTGAGTGGGTAGGTCAGTCGGTAGGTGAGTGGTTGGGTGAGTGGGTAGGTGAGTGGGTGAGAGGGTGAGTGGTTAGGTGAGTGGGTGGGTGAGTGGTTGGGTGAGTGGGTAGGTCAGTCGGTAGGTGAGTGGTTGGGTGAGTGGTTAGGTGAGTGGGTAGGTGAGTGGGTAGGTGAGTGGGTGGGGAACCTGTAGCGGGGGAGTGAGGGGGAGCAGGGAGCGCAGGGCCTGGGAAGCGGGGTACACGTAGCGGGGAGGGGAGTAGGTGAAGTGCAGGAGCTGCCCCTCGCTCACGTCGCCACGCGTTAGCGAGAACCCCCGCACCGCGTCCACGAAGTGAGACAGCTCCTCCCTGGGGGGGGGGGGAGGGGCGGACATGTGTGTTGTGGTTGGTGGCTGTTGTGGTTGAAGTTGAGTGCAATGGTGACTGACATGTAGTGTGGTGGCTGTGTGGTGTGGTGGTGGCTGTGTGGTGTGGTGGTGGTAGTAGTGTGTTGTGGTTGTGTGTAGTGGTGGCTGTGTGGTGTGGTGGTGATAGTAGTGTGGTGTAGTGGTGGTTGTGTGTAGTGGTGACTGTGTGGTGTGGTGGTGGTAGTGTGGTGGTGGTTGTGTGTAGTGGTGGCTGTGTGGTGTGGTGGTGGTAGTGTGGTGTGGTGGTGACTGTGTGGTGTGGTGGTGGTAGTGTGGTGGTGGTTGGGTGTAATGGTGATGGTGGTAGGAGTGTGGAGTAGTGGTGGTGGTGTTGTTGCGTCTCACCGGAGTTGTTGCACCGCCTGGGGGCTGTGCTGCCAGGGTCGCGGTCTCCGCGCGTGCGGAGTCTCCCATGGCCCCAGGGACATGTGCGGCCTGGGGCATGGGTCACGGCGTGACGTCAAGGTCAGGGGTCACAGGGTTTGGCTCAGTGTTCACTAATTTTCAGAGGGGGGGGGGCACTTTCGCCGATGAGACATCAGTGCGAGGGCCGCCACACATTTGAAACCACTGTGTTTGACAGCACGACGATGATGGGGGGGTGGGGGGAGGGGGTTTCACATCTGTTTATTGTCGGGGGCCGCATGTCAGCGGCCGCACTAAAGGCCACCAGGGGCCACCAGTGGCCCGCAGGCCTTGCAGTGAAGAACACTGGCCTGGACAGTCTCCGTGGGTTCGTAATGTCTCTCTCTCCAATGGGGATTTTGTGAAATGTTGGTTTCTGCCCCAGTGTTTAAAACCTCCTGGCTTCAACAACAACCACGATAACCAACAACAGTGGGTGCCACGGTGGCAGGATGTTAACTACCTCGCTTGGTACACAGCTGGTTGTGGGGTCCATTCCAACCCTGACACCTGCTGTAGATTTGGAGTTTGCGTGTTCACTCTCCCCGTGGTTGCATGGATATTTCTCCGGGTCCTCCGGTTTTCTTTGCCTTCACATTTAGAAGCATGGGTTTAGAAACATGCTTGATAAGCCACTTCGTTGAGCTATCATTTGTGGGCAGGTCGCTTCTGAAAAAAAAAGAGCTGTATATCTCCAGTGGGTTTTTACCCGCTAAAATTTGAAATATATAGTTTAGTTTAACAACCACGACGATAACCACAGCACCACAATGGGTTCCTCCACTCGAAATATTGGGGGGCAGTGGGCGTGGCTAGTGGTTCGGTGGGCGGGGTTATGTAAAAAGTTGGTAGGGGGAAGGGCTGCCAAGTCCACACCACTTGGCCACTGTTTGAGCCTCCCAGAAATCCGAAATCTTTGAGGTTTACGACGCTGGGAACGAGGTGATGGGGGTCAGAGGTTGGCGCCATGAGAGGTCAAGTTCACGGCGACCCACCTGAACCCGGAGTGCAGCGCGTAGAGTCGAGAGGCGCGCCCTCTGTGGGGCCCCCCCCCTGCCCCTCCGAGGCCCCCCCTCCGGGCGCCTCCCCCCGGGCCCCCCCCGCCGCCCCTCCGCAGGGCGCCCCCGGGGGCCCTGACGCGCACGTAGGAGACGAGGGAGAGCGCGAAGAGGGCAGCGGTCAGCACCATCACCCCGAGCACGCAGGGGCCGCGCGTCATGGCGCGGGCGCGCGGGCGGCGCCGCTCGGCGGCCGGCGGCGGCGTCGTCGCGGCGGTGGCGGTGGCGCCGCGCGGCGATCCGAACGCGTCCGCGTCTCCGCGAGAGCCGAGTCCGATTCGCCGCTCGCGGCCGACCCGCAAAACGGCAGCGATTGTCTGAACCCGGACGCCGGGCCTCGCCTCGGTCGGCGCGGCCTCAAACGAGCGCCCGGCGCGGTGCGTAAAGCGTGGCCGCTGGGGAGACAAAGGTGGCCGGGCGTGGCCCTGGCCACCGACCCCCTTCGCGCGCCGTGCCGGCCTTCATAGCCGCCGCTCGCGAACGTCGCTCGGCACAAAAGGCCGTGAAGGCTACACGGGCCGGGGGGAATCTTCGTCCCGTGAAGTCACGGCAGGCGCGGAGCGGGTCGGCGTGACCTCGTCGCGGATGCACCGCGGTTTCGCTGCAGGTGGCGACGTCGCTGCGGCTGCGATCGCGGGGGGGGCTTCGACCGAGGCCATGGGAGGACGTAAGCACGTGTATGTATTTGCACGTCGAACCTCTTCTGCACCATACGTAGCCAACCGCGCTAATCGGAGGTGCGGCGGCGGGGGGGGGGGGGGGGAAGGACCTCGTCGCTCCGCTCGCCCGCCCGCGACTTGGCCCCAGCTCTCTACGCCCCACGAACGATGCCAGGCGGCAAGGCGCTCAGGAGCTCGATGCCAACGTCGAGCTCTGCTGTCACGAGAGGGCTTCCGTAGAGAGAGAGAGAGAGTCCGTGGCGTTTTGCTGTTCCTCCTCCTCTTCTGTTGAAGGGGCGCAGCGCGCAACGGTTGACCACGCGGGTCCACAGCGAATGTCTTCACGTGACGTCACAACGCGTGAGCAGCGGCGCGTTGACGTCACGAGCTCATGGGTGACGTCATCGCGGTGTGAGTCTCGGTATGACGTTGCAAGCCGCCCTCCGTGTCCTCCCCTCCCTGGCTCTGTGGTTCCTTACGCTGCCTCACATCCTGCGCTGTGCGGAGGCGTGGGGAGAGACACGGAGAGACAGAGAGAGACACAGAGATACACAGACACAGAGATACAGAGAGACACGGAGAGACACACACACACACACAGAGAGACACGGAGAGAGACAGACACAGAGATACACAGACACAGATACAGAGAGACACGGAGAGACACAGACACACACAGAGAGACACGGAGAGAGACAGACACAGAGATACACAGAGAGAGACACAGACACGGAGATACACAGAGAGACAGAGAGAGACACAGAGAGACACAGAGAGACACGGAGATAGACAGAGAGACACAGAGAGACACAGACACGGAGATACACAGACACGGAGATACACAGAGAGACACAGAGAGACACAGAGATACACAGAGAGACACAGAGAGACACGGAGACACACAGATACAGAGAGACACGGAGATACACAGAAAGACACAGAGAGACACAGACACAGAGATACACAGAGAGACACGGAGACACAGAGAGACACAGAGACACAGAGAGAGACACAGACACGGAGATACACAGAGAGACACAGAGAGACACAGAGAGACACAGAGATACACAGAGAGACACGAAGACACAGAGAGATACAGAGAGACACGGAGATACACAGAGAGACACAGAGAGACACAGACACAGAGATACACAGAGAGACACGGAGACACAGAGAGACACAGAGACACAGAGAGAGACACAGACACGGAGAGACACAGAGAGAGACACAGTGAGACACAGAGAGACACGGAGATAGACAGAGAGACACAGAGAGACACAGACACGGAGATATACAGACACGGAGATACACAGAGAGACACAGAGAGACACAGAGACACACAGAGAGACACAGAGATACACAGAGAGACACAGAGAGACACGGAGACACACAGAGAGATACAGAGAGACACGGAGATACACAGAGAGACACAGAGAGACACAGAGATACACAGAGAGACACGGAGACACAGAGAGACACAGAGAGACAGAGATACACAGAGATACACAGAGAGACACAGAGACACAGAGAGACACAGACACGGAGATACACAGAGAGACACGGAGATACACAGACACAGACACAGAGAGACACAGACACGGAGATACACAGAGAGACACGGAGATACACAGAGATACACAGAGAGACACAGACACAGAGATACACAGAGAGACACGGAGAGACACAGACAGACACGGAGACACACAGAGAGACACAGACACGGAGATACACAGACACAGAGAGACACGGAGATACACAGAGAGACACAGAGATACACAGAGAGACACAGAGATACACAGAGAGACACGGAGACACACAGACACAGAGATACACAGAGAGACACAGAGATACACAGAGAGACACGAAGACACACAGAGAGATACAGAGAGACACGGAGATACACAGAGAGACACAGAGAGACACAGACACAGAGATACACAGAGAGACACGGAGACACAGAGAGACACAGAGACACAGAGAGAGACACAGACACGGAGAGACACAGAGAGAGACACAGAGAGACACAGAGAGACACGGAGATAGACAGAGAGACACAGAGAGACACAGAGAGACACAGACACGGAGATACACAGACACGGAGATACACAGAGAGACACAGAGAGACACAGAGACACACAGAGAGACACAGAGATACACAGAGAGACACAGAGAGACACGGAGACACACAGAGAGATACAGAGAGACACGGAGATACACAGAGAGACACAGAGAGACACAGAGATACACAGAGAGACACGGAGACACAGAGAGACACAGAGAGACAGAGATACACAGAGATACACAGAGAGACACAGAGAGACACAGACACGGAGATACACAGAGAGACACGGAGATACACAGACACAGACACAGAGAGACACAGACACGGAGATACACAGAGAGACACGGAGATACACAGAGATACACAGAGAGACACAGACACAGAGATACACAGAGAGACACGGAGAGACACAGACAGACACGGAGACACACAGAGAGACACAGACACGGAGATACACAGACACAGAGAGACACGGAGATACACAGAGAGACACAGAGATACACAGAGAGACACAGAGATACACAGAGAGACACGGAGACACACAGACACAGAGATACACAGAGAGACACAGAGATACACAGACACAGAGATACACAGAGAGACACAGACACAGAGATACACAGACACAGAGATACACAGAGAGACACAGAGATACACAGAGAGACACGGAGATACACAGAGAGACACAGACACAGAGAGACACGGAGATACACAGAGAGACACAGAGAGACACAGACACAGAGATACACAGAGATACACAGAGATACACAGAGAGACACAGAGAGACAGAGAGAGACACAGAGAGACACAGACACAGAGATACACAGACAGACACGGAGATACACAGAGAGACACGGAGAGACACAGACACAGAGATACACAGACAGACACGGAGAGACACAGACACAGAGATACACAGACAGACACGGAGATACACAGAGAGACACAGACACAGAGATACACAGACAGACACGGAGATACACAGAGACACAGAGAGACACGGAGAGACACGGAGATACACAGAGAGACACAGACACAGAGATACACAGAGAGACACGGAGATACACAGAGAGACACGGAGATACACAGAGATACACAGAGAGACACGGAGATACACAGAGAGACACGGAGATACACAGAGATACACAGAGATACACAGAGAGACACGGAGATACAGAGATACACAGAGAGACACGGAGATACACAGAGAGACACAGACACAGAGATACAGAGATACACAGAGAGAGACAGAGATACACAGAGAGACACAGAGATACACAGAGATACACAGAGAGACACGGAGATACACAGAGAGACACAGAGAGACACAGATACACAGACACGGAGATACACAGAGAGACACAGAGAGACACAGAGAGACACAGACACAGAGATACACAGAGAGACACAGAGAGACACAGACACAGAGATACACAGAGAGACACGGAGATGCACAGAGAGATACGGAGATACACAGAGAGACACAGAGATACACAGACAGAGAGAGACACAGAGAGACACGGAGATACACAGAGAGACACAGAGAGACACAGACACAGATATACACAGACACAGAGATACACAGACACAGAGATCCACAGAGAGACACAGACACAGATACACAGACACAGAGATACACAGACACAGAGAGACACAGAGAGACACAGAGAGACACAGACACAGAGAGACACAGAGAGACACAGAGATACACAGACACAGAGATACACAGACACAGAGATACACAGAGATACACAGAGAGACACAGAGATACACAGAGAGACACAGAGAGACAGAGAGACACAGACACAGAGATACACAGAGATGCACAGAGAGACACGGAGATACACAGAGAGACACAGAGATACACAGACACAGAGATACACAGAGAGACACAGAGATACACAGAGAGACACAGAGAGACACAGACACAGAGATACACAGAGTGACACAGAGAGACACAGACACAGAGAGACACAGAGAGACACAGAGAGACACAGACACAGAGATACACAGAGAGACACGGAGATACACAGAGAGATACGGAGATACACAGAGAGACACAGAGATACACGGATATACACAGAGAGACACAGAGAGACACAGACACAGATACACAGACACAGAGATACACAGACACAGAGATACACAGACACAGAGATACACAGAGAGACACAGACACAGAGATACACAGACACAGAGATACACAGACACAGAGATACACAGAGAGACACAGATACACAGAGAGACACAGAGAGACACAGAGATACACAGACACAGAGATACACAGACACAGAGATACACAGAGAGACACAGAGATACACAGAGAGACACAGAGAGACAGAGAGACACAGACACAGAGATACACAGAGATGCACAGAGAGACACGGAGATACACAGAGAGACACAGAGATACACAGACACAGAGATACACAGAGAGACACAGAGATACACAGAGAGACACAGAGAGACACAGACACAGAGATACACAGAGAGACACAGAGAGACACAGACACAGAGATACACAGACATAGAGAGACACAGACACGGAGATACACAGAGAGACACAGACACGGAGATACACAGAGAGACACAGAGAGACACAGACACAGAGATACACAGAGAGACACGGAGATACACAGAGAGATACGGAGATGCACAGAGAGACACAGAGATACACAGACACAGAGAGACACAGAGAGACACGGAGATACACAGAGAGACACAGAGAGACACAGACACAGAGATACACAGACACAGAGATACACAGACACAGAGATACACAGAGAGACACAGACACAGAGATACACAGACACAGAGAGACACAGAGAGACACAGACACAGAGAGACACAGAGAGACACAGAGATACACAGACACAGAGATACACAGAGAGACACAGAGATACACAGAGAGACACAGAGAGACAGAGAGACACAGACACAGAGATACACAGAGATGCACAGAGAGACACGGAGATACACAGAGAGACACAGAGATACACAGACACAGAGATACACAGAGAGACACAGATACACAGAGAGACACAGAGAGACACAGAGAGACACAGACACAGAGATACACAGAGAGACACAGAGAGACACAGACACAGAGATACACAGACACAGAGAGACACAGACACGGAGATACACAGAGATACACAGAGAGACACAGACACAGAGATACACAGACACAGAGATACACAGAGAGACACAGACACAGAGATACACAGACAGACACAGACACAGAGATACACAGACAGACACGGAGATACACAGAGAGACACAGAGAGACACAGACACAGAGATACACAGAGAGACACGGAGATACACAGAGAGACACAGAGATACACAGAGAGACACAGAGAGACACAGAGAGACACAGACACAGAGATACACAGAGAGACACGGAGATACACAGAGAGACACAGACACAGAGATACACAGACAGACACGGAGATACACAGAGAGACACAGAGAGACACAGACACGGAGATACACAAAGAGACACAGAGAGACACAGACACAGAGATACACAGACACGGAGATACACAGAGAGACAGAGAGACACAGACACAGAGATACACAGACAGACACGGAGATACACAGAGAGACACAGAGAGACACAGACAGACACGGAGATACACAGAGAGACACAGAGAGACACAGACACAGAGATACACAGAGAGACAGAGAGACACAGAGATACACAGAGATACACAGAGAGACACAGAGATACACAGAGAGACACAGACACAGAGATACACAGACAGACACGGAGATACACAGAGAGACACAGAGAGACACAGATAGACACGGAGATATACAGAGAGACACAGAGAGACACAGACACAGAGATACACAGACACACACGGAGATACACAGAGATACACAGAGAGACACAGATACAGAGCTACACAGACAGACACAGAGAGACACAGACACAGAGATACACAGATAGACACGGAGATACACAGAGAGACACAGAGAGACACAGACACAGAGATACACAGACAGACACGGAGATACACAGAGAGACAAGGAGAGACAGAGAGACACAGACAGACACACACAGAGATACACAGACAGACACGGAGATACACAGAGAGACACAGAGAGACACAGACACAGAGATACATAGACAGACACGGAGATACACAGAGAGACACAGAGAGACACAGACACAGAGATACACAGACAGACACGGAGATACACAGAGAGACACGGAGAGACAGAGAGACACAGACAGACACACACAGAGATACACAGACAGACACGGAGATACACAGAGAGACACAGAGAGACACAGACACAGAGATACACAGACAGACACGGAGATACACAGAGAGACACAGAGAGACACAGACACAGAGATACACAGACAGACACGGAGATACACAGAGAGACACGGAGAGACAGAGAGACACAGACAGACACACACAGAGATACACAGACAGACACGGAGATACACAGAGAGACACAGAGAGACACAGACACAGAGATACATAGACAGACACAGAGATACACAGAGAGAGACAGAGAGACACAGACACAGAGAGACACACACAGAGATACACAGACAGACACGGAGATACACAGAGAGACAGAGAGACACAGACACAGAGAGACACACACAGAGATACACAGACAGACACGGAGATACAGAGACAGACACAGAGAGACAAGGAGATACACAGAGAAACGGAGATACACAGACACGGAGATATACGGAGACACACAGACAGACACGGAGATACACAGACACAGAGGAACACAGACAGACAGACACGGAGAGACACGGAGAGACATGGAGAGACACAGAGAGACACAGAGAGACACAGACACAGAGATACACAGACAGACACGGAGATACACAGAGAGAGACAGAGAGACACAGACACAGAGAGACACACACAGAGATACACAGACAGACACGGAGATACAGAGACAGACACAGAGAGACACGGAGATACACAGAGACACGGAGATACACAGACAGACACGGAGATACACAGAGAGACACGGAGATACACAGAGAGACACGGAGATACACAGACACAGAGGAACACAGACAGACAGACACGGAGTGACATGGAGAGACACGGAGAGATATGGAGAGACACGGATATACACAGAGAGACACGGAGATACACAGACACAGAGGAACACAGACAGACAGACACGGAGTGACATGGAGAGACACGGAGAGACATGGAGAGACACGGAGATACACGGAGATACACAGACAGAGGAACACAGACAGACAGACACGGAGAGACATGGAGAGACACGGAGAGACACGGAGAGACACAGACAGACACGGAGATACACAGAGAGACACAGAGAGACACAGACACAGAGATACACAGACAGACACGGAGATACACAGAGAGAGACAGAGAGACACAGACACAGAGAAACACACACAGAGATACACAGACAGACACGGA